CCTTGGCGATTCTCCAGGAGGCAGAGGGATCTCAGACAGCAGGTTTGTTGATGGCTACCACATTGATTTTGGTACGCAAACATTCTCCTTCCCTTCTGCCATTCTTGCAACCAACACCATGGTGGGGGATATTGCTTCAGCTTCAGCCTGCGATCACGCCAGTCCACAGCTTTCCAACCCCAGCCCCTTCCACACTCTCAGACTGGACCTAGTGCTTGAATGTGTGGCCCGATACCAAACCAAACAGCGCTCCATGTTCACATTTGTGTGTGGGCAGCTGTTCCGACGAGATGAATTCTCATCTCATTTCAAAAATGTTCATGGAGATATTCATGCTGGACTCAATGGCTGGATGGAGCAGCGCTGCCCCTTGGCCTACTACGGCTGCACCTACTCCCAAAGACGATTTTGTCCATCTGTTCAGGGCTTCCGGATCATCCACGACAGGCACCTGGGTTCTTTCGGGGTGCAGCCTGGTTTGCCGTTGAAAACTGGGGACACGCGCCTAAGAAAGAACTGCCAGTTTAGCTCTCAGTGTGACCAGTTCAGCAGTCTTCCATTTGAAGTTTTGCAGCACATAGCAAGTTTTCTGGACAGCTTTAGCTTGTGCCAGCTCTCCAGAGTGTCCCGCATCATGAGAGATGTGTGTGCCAGCCTGCTGCAGATGCGTGGCATGGTTGTTCTGCTGTGGGAGAAGAAACGGCGTGCTGATGGGTCTCCCTCATGGCAGATCACAAACAAGGTTTGTCCACTTGCACACTCTTTAAAGACAGCTGAGAGCAAATTTCACTTGTCTGTCTTGTGCTCAGCACATGAAAATAAACAAATTTTCCTATTTCTGTTCAGGTGTGGCGATTCAGCACAGCCTTTGGTACAGTGAACGAGTGGAAATTTGCAAACATCGCCAGCATGGCTGATCACCTCAAGAAATGCAAATTTAACACAATTTCTCGTCGGGAGGAGGCGATCCCTCTGCCATGCATGTGTTTCACCAGAGAGCTCACAAAGGAAGGGAGGTGTTTACGTTCAGTTCTCAAACCAGTAGCATAAACAGTGAGGTCATCCTTCAGACTCCTCTGGGTCCTATAGAACTCAAATGCACATTTTTCCTCCAGTGTTTACAGACATTACGATTCTTCCGGCCTCAGAAAGACAACTCCTGGTTGAACTTTACCTGTGGTTCTCTGCTACACAGTGGAAACAGTCTTCAATCCCTCAAATAAGACAAAGCCAGTAGTGAGCTGGCATATACTTCAGCTGAGGCTGACCTGCTGCAGTCACACATCAGGACTATAAAAAAGCAAATTGAAGTTCTAGCATTGTATCTTCCTCTCTGATATTAATCCTGGTGTACTGAAGTTGTATCTTTACCTACTCTGACACTGTGTAAATATCGAATGTTTTTGGTGTAGAATTTTTAAACAATTTTTATATCAAAAAGTCAGTACCGTGCTTCATTGGTAAGAGTAGAGCCTTAACTTGAGATACACTTGATTTTTCTCGCCATGAGGTCGTTCAGAACATCTGTGAGATTTCTCCAGTGCTTCACGCTAGAACAGTTACTGCTACCTAGAACGCTTTGACATCTTCTTTAGATGCCTACAGTGACCATGTGTGTACTGCTTAGAACTTAGATTTCACAGCGTTAATTCTACATTTTCACATTGACCAAACGTCTGTGCTCCACTTTACAGGATTATTGAACTGCACCAGCATGAGCATGCTCACACCTTTTTTTTTTTTTTTGGCATGTTTTAGCAGTCACAACAGTGGTCCACCCTCAACTTTTTTTCACACTTCTGACTAAGAGGCGGCTTTGTTAGTCAGGGTACAGAGACATGAAGCAACACTATTTACCAGTTGAGTGTCAGTACTATTTATTTTTTTTCTGTTTGTTTTTTAAGCCACGGTTGGCTTGTGGTTTTTTTTTACCAGCTATTTTGACAAGTAACCAGCAATTATTTAGAGGTTCTTTTCTTCAAAAATCTAAATGTAGCGAAGTCAAATAATGAATGTACCTGGTGAATCATCAGTGACTGGTTAGCAGGAAGCGTGGTTTCCTTCCCCTCAGTGTCAGACCTCAACAAATCCTGCAGGCCAGGTTCTAGGAAAAATAACGGGCACACACTTCCCTCCTTTAATAAGCACCATTAACTATGTTCATATTCACTATTTATCATGGTTTTCAAGTTGTTTTTTTCTTTTTGGCACTACATGTCCGCTATTTTCACGTATTGTTGGTGTCTCAGGGTCGTATCATGAAGCTTCGTCTCACCGTAGTGTATTTGAGAAAATTGCTGAAAATGCCACGACAGCTGGTCAGCTGCTTTGTTATTACAGGATCCGTGGGGAACTGTTTCAGTATTATAGTGGTGTGAGTTGCAGTGCTGAAATAACATGGTTTTCATGTTTATCAGTAAGGTTTTGTTTGGTTTTTTTAAACGTATAAATCTTCGTGATTGGGCTTGTTGAACAATTTATTTATTTTTTTTGTCTGAATTAAGAAATTTGATGTAACAAAACTTGTAGTTCCCATATATAGAAAGAAATCTTCAAAAACTTTTTGAAACTGGTTTAAAATGACAGACATGTCATTAGTTAGTGATGAAATATGGGTATGGTGTGTGTTTCTTTTTCTTTTGGATGTAGGAAAGCCCAAGCTGTGTCAAAACTAAACTGTCTTTTTCAGTTTGTGTGATTTTTTTTTTTTCTTTGTTTTTTTTGTACTGGTACATTTATTATTTTTTTGTTTTGTTTTAAGAAATGCAAGTCTGCCTCTGTTAGGTCTGGATTTGAATTATTGATTTGCACATGACGGCATGTACTGTAAAATTTAAATCCTAAATCTGACAGGTTGTCTTTGTTGAAGCAGCAAGAATGCTACTCCTTCCTGTTCTGCATGTAATCAGTCCAGTTACAGGCTAATTTATACAGTTTGTTTCTCAGGCACCACGCATTAATATTAGTACATTTTATGTCCTTTCTTATATTATAGAAAGAGAGACAGAAAGAATGAAATCAACAAAACCTGATGAGATGCACTAAGTCTTTGGCGTTCAAGTTGTCAGAGTGAGTTGAATGAGGAACTGAGCATGCAAATCAGGCTTTTATTCTGTGGATGTTCATGCATGTAAGAGGTCTCCAGATCACTTTTTGTTTTGCAGTCTTTGCACCTGGAGTGTATCTGTATTTTGATCAGTATTTTGGGTTAAATTATCACTGCTGATGGGTTTTTTTTCTTTTGTTTTGTTTGTTTTGTTTTTTTTCACCACAGTATGCCAACTTCATTTGTTTGACTTTTGGTCCATTTTAATAAAGAGACTCTTGAGTTCTTAAATGTTTCGACTTTTAATCTTTTTCAGTATCTATCAGAGGTATGTCTGTATATTTAGATCAGGTGTACACTAACAGATGTTCTCTTCAGACCCACTTAGTCTACATATGATTGGATCAAAAGCCATTTCACACTGTACTCTAATATCTTTGTGTTTTATTCCTTCGTTTTGACCCATTGCAAAGGCAGAAGAATATAAATAGGACACATTGTCTTCTTTTAGTGCCAGCAAAGTCTTGAGAGATTTAATACAGTGTCTGTGAAACTGGGAAAACAATAATACAGCATTTGTGAAATAATATTTCCCTCACCGCTAGATGGCACCACATAAACAGACCTTCACCATCAGGGGTGCGAAACCGTCCACACAGGAAATATAAATAGGCCTCTTGGTACATAACATCTTCCACTGCGATGATGAGCCAGGATGTGATTTAGCTGTTGGTCCCCGGTTGGTGGGTTTTGATTCAAGATAAGAATGAAGAGAAAATAAAGTATAAAAGTCCTCATCATTGACTTCGTTTCAAATATTTGAATAAAAGCGTCACTGAAGAATGGCAATGATGAAAGCTTCTTCACGTGCATGTTACTTTGCAATTACGTCTCCTTTTGTTACAGCATTTGTAAATCTGTTAGAAAACATCAACTACTGCTTTTTTTAGGGGCTTTTGAATATTTAAATATTAATATCTGCTACTGTACTGCCGTTTTGTTTGCATTTGGACCACACTGTGTAATCAAATACCTGTTAAGTCTCAAATCTATAGTGAGGCAGTGAGGCGTGCCCCTTGTAATTATCCAAAATCTCTCTTAGTTTCTTAGCTGAACCAGAGTACATGCGTGGTAAGAAAAAAACAGACCAAACAATGGCTTCGCAACAGGAATCTCAAAGGAAGGTGACAATTATTACTGTGGGAGCTTAAGCGCAGAAAGGCTGACCATGAAGAGTAAAGTCGTCCTGAAGTGCATAAGACTGCACGCATTTCCTCCAAACATCGGTTAAAACTTCCGTTTTTACCAGGAGTGGGGTTCGAACCCACGAGGACTATTGTCCATTGGATCTTAAGTCCAACGCCTTAACCACTCGGCCATCCTGGTGAGTGCACGTGCACAGTCAGCGCATGGCTCACATCAGATAAAGCCGTGTGACTCCAGCACGCACAGCTACCAGAGGCGTGACGCCACAGTTCAAATAAACGCGCTCTTGTCGGTAAATGCCCCCAGTAGAAACCGCACAGCACTGCTGTGGAAGTGCAATCATTGCAGCCCTGAAACTCATTTCAACACAGAGCAGAGGCAGTTAAGTCTGAAAACTCCCACAGGTACACAGCAGTCTGAGTCACAACACCCTCAGTTTACCAGCTGATGACTGGGATTCCCCCAGTGAGGGATGGGCTGGCCCAGAGGCACGGGGAAATAAGGGTTTTTAAATTTTACTACCATCACAAAGGGCAGTGAGATAGGCCTCCTGTGCAAACAGAAAGTCCTCTGACCTGTTTAGTTTGCCATTCTGTTCTGTTTCTCCTGTAACATTACCTGTGCAAACACCGCATTAAGTCAGGCAAACTGCCCTGTTAGAGAGATTTCACTGGCTTTGGTGACGTTGGTTGTCTGGCAGTGATAAACAAAATCATTGACTTTCTAAAGTGGAGCTGACACACAGATATTTGTGTGTTTGTGTTTTTTTATGTGAAGCAACACGTGGAGGAAAAGCACAGCCTTGGCTTGTAGCTGGTGATGATATACATGGGGGTGGTTAACATATAGTTGCACAATCCTCACAAATCTAACTTGCCTCCCCAGCTAACCACAATTGCTGGTTGAGCTGTGATCAGTGTTTCTACACACTTGTGAAGCAATGGTTGCAATAAGAAACACGTCTATAGCAAGTACCGGTTCCAAGCTTAGCTGTAGATGCACATTCAAGTTGTCCAAATATAGCCACTCCAAGGCATTTATTTATAAATAAAATCATACTTTATGGGCTTAAATATTGCAGACTGTACAAAGCTAAAAGCTAAACAAAGCTGCAAGTCACATGAAATAATAATTTCGATGTTTTTACAGCAGTCATGTATGCATAAGCTGTTCTCAGTAGCAATCAGGAAATGTAACTACCATCATCGCACTGTATATATTTGCATATGTGCATGTGGTTTGAATCACTCTGACTAGTTGGTATCAACTCAATAAAGAAAATGATACCAGAATGTGATATCTGGACACATCTAGAGCAGCAAAAAGCTTTCATGTGGAAACATTTGCAGAGAAAGCGGATTTGAATCAAATGTTCTGGTAGGGGGCGGGAACTGGTGGCGCCTCATTTACAGCATGGGAAACAACAACAAAACAGCTTCTTGCATGGATTGCTTTTCTTGTATTTCACAGCCTGCTTGATCTGCGCTGAAGCTTTGGCTACATAGTCCTCTGTTGCCCCTACATTTGCTTCTATGTTGTCCAGCATGCAGCCCTGCTGCTCCACCAGCATCGCCATCTGGAAAAAAAGGTCATGAATGTCCCTAATGCGGCCCTCCAGCTCCAGCAGCTCCTTGTGCCTGTTCTCAATCTCGTTGAGAGCAGATCTGGCAGTCCTCCCTTCCAGCAGGAGATTATCCGAGAAGACGTTCCACTTGCCCGTCTCAGTCATCTCGTCTATCTGCTCCCTGGTTACCTCCTTGCCCATGATCTCTGCTTGCCTCTGGATGCGGGTTTTGCAATTCTCCCTTTGCGCCATTTCAGCCTCATTGTATTCAGACATGGCACTGTGGAAGGCGCTGGTCAAAGACACATACTGCGAGCGCACCATGCGAGCCAAAGCTGATGTAACTCCGTGGTCTTCCTCCAGCTCCTTGCTCAGCTTCCCCATTTTTTCCAGCTTTTTATAAATGGACTCCCCTCTGGCCTTGATGTCTCGTCCCAGTGCGTTGGAGTCCCGCTTGATGCTGCTGATCCTCCTGACTGATGTGAGGAACCTGGTGTTCTGCTTCCCCAGACGTTTCACATCCATTCTGAGCAACTGGATCTCCTTCCTCATCGCTTGGGCATCCTTGTAGATGCCATCCATCATGTCCTCACCCTCAAACACAATGGCGTGTTGCTCGAGAGGCTCCTCATCCTCACCGGCGAGTCTCTCGTTCTCCGTGGGCTTGTACTCCTGCTCTGCAGGCGTAAAGGCCTGCAGCTCAGTCAGTCGGTCCTTCATCTTACCTGCAAGAGTCATAGACATTTATTCACCTCGCTAATGGAATTGTGGGAAACGCACTCTTTACTCTGTGGTGAAGAACTAGATAAAAAACTAATATCAAAAATTCTAATGGCACAACTTTATTTTGCTGGCTTTGCTCCTCTTCATCTTATTTCCTGTCACATGTATACTGTTCATATTAAACATAGCAGAAGTTTCAAATAGTGAGGTCAGCACATGCAAGAAAACAACCAGGCTTTGGACTGTTGTTTCTACTTTCAGCTCTATATGATGTCACTTTTTACATTTACTTTTTACATATATCCTTAACATAGTCATCTCAGGCACACAGCTCTCTGGCCTTGAGCACAGAAGCCCCACCCATCTGTATTCAAGCCCTCTGTTTTCAGCTAATCAGAAGAAAATTGGAGTAAAGGTCGGTGGCCATAAAGAGAGAGGACTTAAAATGACTTATTTGACACGTTAACTTAAATGTTTGAGATTATTCTGAAATGTGAATCACGCAAAGCTACACAAGTTAAGTAACAGTTTTTTTAATGTGTGGAAAACCTCCGGTCCCTTACAGAATGAAACTGGATATTGGATAGCAAATAAGATGGGTCATGTTCTTTGGTCATTTCCTTTCAATGTTGCACTGAAACCTCCTGTTAATAGAGAGAAGGAGGGGCTGGTATCACACTGAGTTCTTCTTTTGATATGTTATTATTAACATTAAGGCACAGATGTTAAGTCTCACTTTTAGATAACGATAACAGCTTTTGATGTACAATCCAAGGTGGCTGTAGGTCAGTGAAAAGTCCTCAAAAGCAAACTGGTGAGTTACTTCCTTAGCTGTATCACTCTCATCATCATGAGATAGAAGTTATTTTAAAAGTTCCTGTCCTTCAGGAAGCGGTTATTTCCTGTTAAACCAATCCATTCCTGAGGTGCACTGTGATGTAGATAATGTTAAAAATCCTCACTAAAGTGAAACAACCACATCAGAGAAGCGCAAAGCATCCTCTCCCGTGATAAGGTGAGATCGGGAGGAAACAGAATAGCTCGAAAGCAATCTTTTGATACAGAAATCGACCTGTATGATACAATACACCTATGTATCGATTACTGAGCCTATATCTATATAGAGAGTACAACAGAAGGCGCAAACAGCCTACCTTTTTGTGTCCTCCACCGATACTAGAGAATCAAAGTCCCAAAAGCAGAAGGGGCGAGTACGGAAAGACTCATTTCCTCTTTTTTGTCTCGGTTATAAATGTAAATTTCAACATGTACCAGAGTCAACTTGGTATTTTTGAAGGAGGTCTTGCATCACGTCCTATACATTACAAGTGACACGCTGACATTACACTGCCCATATACCCTGCAGCGGGTATTAATGCGGAAGATAACGCCTTTTCCCCTTTACACATTTCACTGCCTCTCGGGTTTGATTCCAGGAAGGAGGTGTAGGTCAGTCACAGTCATTATATATGGTGGTTTTTATGTCAAATCGTGCGCATTTGGAATTTGCGCAATAAAGGTTTTGTGTTGTAAAAACCTTTTAGATTCACGAGTCGACCACGAATCTCAGTCATTTTCATTTTAGTTTAAATTCTTCGCTGTGAAGATAGAAAAGAATACAAGAAGCACGAAAAAAGAAATTCATCTTATTATACTAACATAAAAACGCGATTAGAAGTTCAACACTAACCTTGAAAACGGAAGGAAAGCCTCGACATAAAACACATTTAGTGTTCAGGAACAAGTGTTTGACACAAGTGGAAAGTGCAACCCCAATATTTTTACATGTGGTTTTAATGATCAGGTCTAAAAATATACAACGAGTATTAAAATTTACATTTCTGAGAGAAAGGGGAAGGGGGGAGGGGGGCGTTACAACACTGGGAGTCTTGTAACCTGTAATAAGCAATTTTCTTTGGTAGTTGGGCAAGGTAAAGCCTTCATAATTGCTTTATATGTAGGAACAGAAAAAGTGCTATGGCCATTTGCTCCATTTAGTCAGCTGCAACAGTCCTGTGTTGAAAAAGTGAAAATGTATCAGAGTATTTAAAAAGCTGAAGTTCTCGCAATTTCAAATTACAGATGATAAAGATCAAGCTGAAATGAAGAAGCGATAGTTACACAAGGGTTTTTTTTAAATTATTATTTTACTTAAGGGGGACAAGTCACACAGACTTAGTATAGGCTGATATCCAGACTGCTGACACTGTCCTTTGGCTGGTATCATACAGTTACAGGAGCAAAGGCTTTATCAACATTTGAACAGAAATCATTAATGGTTACAGTCATACCAGCCTGTTAATGGCTAAACTTTTATACTTCCATCAATAAAGGCCGCATTACAACTTCACATAAAATCACATAAAGTCTAAATATACCTAAAATAACAATCTAAAATCACCTAACTTAAGTATTTAAGGTTAAATATTAACAGTTCTATGAGTCTTTACATTAGCAATTGCACTTTGCTTTTACAGATAAATGCCTTAAATAAATATTTTACTATAGATCTATTTTTAAGCACCTATACAATTCAGGCTTGCAGGAAGTGGAGCTCTTCCCAGATATACGGAGAGTCGGCCAATTGGTGGGTCTTGTTTTATGATGACCAGCGCAACTTGGCTTCATCACCATCAGTGTTCAAACCTTTCTATTAGTGGCGCCATCTACTGTGCTCCCATCTGTGGGTGTATCCTGGAAGCCAGTGCGATTCATTAAAAGTTTCACCATATTTCAGAATCAATAAAAGCTTCATAAGACCTAATTGTGATAACATGGAAAGCAGGCGCAAAACAGCTTCTTGAAGGGGTTGTTTTTGTCAGATTTAATGGCATTATCCAAATAGACCCTGCTTTCCAGAATGATCACACCAACATTTTGAACATTTTTCTGGATATTTTCCACTCCTGTTCCCTGCTCCTCCATGAGGACAGCCACATCTAGGAACAGTTCCTGGATCCCCGCGATTCTCTTCTCCAGCTCCTGCAGCTCACGGTGCCGGCTCTCTATCTGCATTAGTGCAGACCGGGTAGATTTCCCTTGTATCTGGGTGCTGAACACAGTCAATTCTTCACCCTCCATCATCTCCTCCAGCTCCTCCATGCTAACCTCCTTACCCACTATCTCCATCTGTCTCTGGATCTGCTTTTTACAGGCTTCCCTGTGGTTCATCTCTGTGTCATTGTAGCTGAACATCACCTCCCGCAGAGCGTTGCTCAGGCAGTGGTACTGTGTTCGAGCAATGCGCGCTGTGGGGTCCAAACTGCCGCGTTGGACCTCCAGTTCACCTCTGAGGTTATTTAGCATATGCAGCCTCTGCAACACAGCTTCACCTCTGCGTTTAATATCTGCCCCGATTGCGTTGGAGTCCCGTTTTATTACGATGGAGTCTGAAGTCTTATTCAAAGCCTGATAGTTTACGTCCTTCAGATCTCTGATGTCATTTTGGATCTGCTGGATTTCCAGACGTATCAGCTGGGCCTCCTTCAGGACATCATCCAGCTCATTATCTCCAGCTGTTGCTTCATGATCTGATAGGTTATCTAGCTGCACTGTACTGAAACCCTCAGTGTCAGTCTGTACCTGATGCAGGTGTCCCAGTCTGTCTCTCATGGCTGGAAGGAAACAGAAAAAAGGTAGATTTACTCACCTGGGAGAAAAGGTTTATCCGTGACTTGAAAAAAAAGCATCACATCCAATATATTTAGTGTTTAGCAACTTTTAGAGGCAATGAGCAACCTTATTCTTCATTTGTAGTCATGTTTGAGGCCAGTCTTCAGCTTCTAAGGGAGGTATTTGGCTCTTTGGCTACTAAAGTTGAAATTAAACTATGTTGAACAGCTAGGTGTGTGTCTGTGTGTGTGAGCAGACTGCTTTTTCAGAAAAAAGCAGTCTGCAGCAGTTCAAAATGATGACGATGGGAGAAGTGAGTGTCTTAAAGTAAAAAAACAAACCCCCAGCGTTATGAAGCTGAGGAGATTATTATCATCTGTGGGTTCGTGAGTACGTGCAGTGCGTTGTGTAAATTAAAATAAATAAACAGTAAGCTTTGCAGCTGCTTTTAGTTTTTATTTTTCCAAAGTAAATGAATAAAAACATTTCAAATTGAAATTAAAAGAAATATTTACTCCTCAAACTTGGTTTAATTGATTACAACTAAACATCTGACTGCTGAACCTGACCTTTTTACCCTGAATTGGCTGTAACATTCCTGCTGAAGACATAAATGCTTCCTGTTTTACAAGCTAAAACAGAAAAACACCAAGAGAAAGCTGTTTCCCAGCTAATGACTGTAAAGCTTTTATTCTGTTAAGCTCATCTTACAAAATAAAACACAAAGGTCTTGTAATCAGTGCATAGCACCGTGGCACATTTTCTACATCTCCAGTATCGAGTAATCTTAGATGAATTCTCCTGATCCACTAGGACGTGTAGTCTGTCAAAGACTTGCCAAACAAGTTCTCAAACAGAGAAGCTGTTGGATTTTTTCTTTGTTGCAATACTTTGAATTAAAGTGTTTTAAGCTTTGGTGACGGTTTAGCTCCCAAGCAGATCAGGTAAACATGAGCCTCAAGGCTGAATGCAGCAGCTCAGGTTTGATTTGGACTTGAGGAACTTTAACACTCTCATTTCCTACTTTCCTGAAAAGCCCCACCCCCCAAAAACAAAAATAATAATATTAAAATTATTTTAAGCTTAACTCAACAAAAACAACAGAAGACAAGCAAATCATGTTACTGATCACCATCATACAAAGCAGACATGAACTCAGTCACAAGGAAGTCTGGTTGGATTTAAATGATTTTTACAATAGATAATATAAATTTTACATTATTGAAACACATAATCTATTATTCTGAGCACTGAAAAGCCTTATTGGGATGTGAATACTTTCTGTAAACATTAACAGTGTAAAGTACATGGACATAGCTGTATGATTTTGCCAGTACTGGCCCTTTTCTTTAAATCAGTAGTAAATCACGCATCATATGATTCATCAAGACAAATTCGCCCTTTCTATCAGATGCAGTATAAACTCACTAACAGTTTAATGTCTTGTAGCATGATGCTGTGCTGACAACATTTAAAAAGGTCCCCTGAGCAAACCTAAAGAATATAAAACCTATGAAGCTATGATTATAGAATTATTATATCTTACTTGTATTGTTCTTAGTTAGCCGTAGATGAGTTTCAGATACTTCCTTGTCCTCTGTAGTTAAAGGCGATCATGAAAATGGGAGTTCAGTCCAGTTAGTAGAGCGACGGCTGCTTTAAGAGCAAGTGATTTTTTAAAACTGTTAACCATCATCCTGCTTATGAGGAAAGGTTTTTAAAAACAAAACTTTCTGCATTCCTCTCGTGTCACGTGGAGACGTGAGGTGACGTACAGTAGGACAAAGCCATGCTTGTTAACGATTTAACATAAAGATGAAACACTCGTGCTTACATTTCACCTCTGTTATCATCACCTTTACCGCACTGCTTTTTAAAAAAAGATAGCGTTCTCGGGTGTTGTTTTCTATCAACAGAAATGGCAATGAAGGGGGTAAATGGCTGTGCTGAGGCCTTGACAAAGCACATATAAGATAACATCAGGGATAGAGGTCACTGACTTTGGACACACGACATGTTAAAAAAAATAAAGAGGAAGTATTTGAGATAGCTTATCTTCCAGAGGGGTGGGACCAAAATGTTCTTATATGATAAAAACTCAAGTCTAAAAAAAAAGAAAAAGAAGAAGACATGAAACACTGCCTTCTTTAGTTAATACTTCTACATCCTTTCCTGTTTCATGAAACACAATCTAAGTGTGAAGCCACCAACCATCAAGTGATTTTCAGTCATGCAGCCAGAAAAAGAAACTCAAGCTGAATAGATCATTCGGTGCATAGGCTGCATGTGCATGAGCAGTAATTTCCATCGGCCTACTGAGTTTCTGAGTCACTGGGATTGTTTCTCACGGGGGATTTTTTTTGAAGGCCAACGTGTGCCCTATAGCTGTATAAGCATAACTGACACTTTACTCTTAAGACAAAAGCATAAATGAAACCATGTGAAGTTAAAAATTCCCCACTAAACCACAACCAGCAGTAGTGTTCTCTTTCACCGTTTCTGTTTTTAGCACATTTCTCACTCGCCTTCTTAAGACCTGGTGTCATGGGCTAATGGAGAGAGGACACAAATGTAGTACATAAAGAGAAACTGGGTATTGACTAAAAAAGGAATAAAAAAAAGCTAAACAAAGGGCAAAAAGATTACCCCAACACAGCACAGGGAGGACAATTAAAGAAAGACAAGGAGAAAGAGGAAGACTGGACTATATATAGACTGTGGACTAAATGGGGAATAACAGACAGAAGAGGAAAAAGACACAAGTGAAACACAATCACAACATCCTTTACTTC